GTGTGCTTATGATTGAATGACTCTTCGCGTGCCATGTTAACCCGATCGAACAGTCGTGATCTTTTGGCCAGGAGTATTTAATCACCTCCTCCATCAGCCCCAAAAACCCTAGCTAACAGGGGGGGCATATGAAGAAGAAGCAAGGATGCCAGAAAGAGTTGCAGATGGTGGAATGACAGTGGCGCCACCGTGCTGGAAGTCTAAATCAGCTCCTGTAAGCGAGATTTTTTCCCTTTCCTTTATTTTTCCCTTTTTTTGACAATTTTTAATTACTTTACTATAGATTAGCTAGGAAAACATCAACCTAAGAGGAAGAGATGTGAACACCGCGACCGACGGCTGCTTGGGACGACGTGGTCGGCTTCTGACTCTAGTAAGAATGCCTAAATCCTTCCTTTATGATGGTTTAATCAAAGCCGTAACTTTAAAAAAAACTAAATTAAAGATAAAATCAATTCAACCCATGTTGTGTTGTCAATCCGATTAGATGCTGCCGATGGAGTTAATTAACTTTGATCCTTGTTCTAGTTGGTTTGCCCATTTAATTTTATTTTATTTTTATTTGTATTTTATTTACATTTTTATTTATATTGTTATTTTTATCTATTAGTTTATTTATCTTATCTTTATTCTTATTTCTTTTACAGTTTATAGTTGTCGATGTGTAAGTTACATATATATGAGAACATATTCGATGTATGGATAGCAAACATGTGTTTTGACGGTTATATTGGTGTGATTTATATATGTTTATGTGTTTACTGGTTGATTTGTTGACTATGAATCGTATGAATATGCATTGTTGGTAATATTGTTGTTGTGCATGTGTTGATTGAGATGGCTGTTGACGATGTAAATAGGGACATAAATTAATGTTATTACTTAGAGGTGAGTTTTCTCTTGTATTAGAATGTAAATATGATATTTGAGCAGGGAAAGAATAAGATGTCAAGGGTATTTATATTTATAAAGTTGATATATGAAATGGAAATAATCATTGAAAAGTAAAACTTACCGTGTATTATGGGAGAGAGTGTACGGACTTGGTACATAGGGTGAACCCTATAATAGACGTGTCCTCAGTCATACGGGGATAGAAAGTTCCATACCAGATGAGCTTGGGAGATATTTTAACGACATTCATACCGTACAGGGTATGAAGATGTCTAATAAGAGTGGTTTGTCCATTACCAGACAAGATATCGAGTCAGCCGGTGAATTATAAAAGAAATATTTGTATATCCATGTGTAGTGGGGATCCTATAGACTTCCAATGATACCGATAATGAAAATGATGACATATAATAGAAATGAGAATGAAAGTAACCTTTATTTTTTAGAATGGTACAGAGCCCTGAAATTCACATTGTTATCGAGATATGTATTGATTGTGTCTTTTACTCTATTTTGATGATATCTTGATATTGTGTGCATGGATGGTTGCTAGTAAAGAAGGGAATAGAAAAGGTTTTAAGTAAAAACAGAAAAATGATGCATCATCATTTAGCTTTTATTAAAAATGTTTGCTCCATATATTGTTTTATGATTTTCTATAACATTTTGGTTGTTATTACCATTGCAAAATTTTGATATTCTTATTGAGTTAGTATAGCTTACCCTATTCTTATTAATCATTTCTAATCAAGATGATCAAAACTCAAATTCCAAATAACGAAAGACTAGTTAGGATATTGAATTAATGTAACTCACCCTATTTTTATTAATCATTTCAAATCAAGAGGATTAAGATTCAAATCTTGAATAACGAAAGACTAGTTAGGATATTGTTCTACTTTATTTTGTCAAACAATAATTCAGATTGTTAATTTTATTTTATAATGATAGTTGTTTTAGGTAACAAAATAGTCTTGTAGGTATATTGGATATTTTAAGCCGATGTACAAGGGATATATTGTTTAAACACCAAGATTTTGTTGTTCTATATAATTTCAGTAGTTATTTTATTATGACATAGTATTGAGCGCACAGAATTTTGAATTGGGGGCTCGGGTTGTTAGAAAAATACTTTTTTGATTGCTTGTTTTTAGCTTATTTCTTTTGAAATTGGGATTCATGTCTTCATACATTCCAGACTATCTTCGTTATAAGTTCAAGTAGTTGGGATTTCTATTAATTTTTCTTTTTCAATATCTCGAGACCTGTTTTGAGTTTTGCTGTGTATTATATCCTTGATTCAAAAATTATATATTTTCTATTTTGGCAGCTTTATCATTTTAGATTATATA